GAGTTGGAGTCTCACTCGGTCGCCCAGACTAGAGTGCAGTGGCTGCTCCCGGCCACCGCAGCCTCGCCTGCTGGGCTCCGGCGATCCTTCCGCCTCAGCCTTCCGAGTAGCCGGAATTACAGGCATGTGCTACCACACCCAGCTGATTTTTTTTTTTTATTTATTGTAGAGATGAGGTCTCGCTGCCCAGGCGGGTCTCGAACCCGCGGGTTCAGGCAATCCACTCACCTCAGCCTCTCAAAGGTGTGGGATTACAGGCTGAGCCACCGAGCCCGGCTTGTTAATGTTCTTATAGCTATTTCTTTACTTATCCCCATACTTATTCCTTTATAAAAATTCCTAGAACAAGAATTAATAGATCAAAAAATATGAATGTTTTAGGGGTTTTGATATGCACTGCCTGATTGTGACAATGACTTCTTTTTGGAGTCAGAGTCTCACTCTGTTGTCCAGGCTGGAGTATAGTGGCACGTTCATGGCTACTGCAGCCTCAACCTGCTGGGCTCAGGACATCTTTCTGCCTCAGCCTTCCAAGTAGCTGGGACTACAGATGTGCGCCACCACACCTGGCTAATTTTTTAATTTATTATAGAGACGAGGTCTCACCATGTTGTCCAGGCTGGTGTCAAACCCTAGGCTCAGGTAGTCCTCTTGCCTGGACTTCCCAAAGTGCTGGGAGTGTGTCTCTGTGCCCAGCCGACAATGACTTTTTAATAAGATAATTTAACTCATGCTAAACACATCAGCACTTATATTATTAACATTACCTGTCCTGGGAAAATCCAGCAATCACTTGGGGGATTAATGCAGATTCAAAACACTAGGCTCAATGAATTGAAGGTCTAAGTACCCTCTTCTCATGACAAAGTTCTGATTTTTCCTAAAGACTGACTGCTATTGAGGTCCTGATTTTACTGTTTCTCATTTCAGGCATTTAAAGCAAGAATCAGCAGCATTCCCACAATTAAGAAGTTCCTGCAGCCTGGAAGTCAGAGAAAGCAGCCTCCAGATAGCCACTATGTTGAACTAGTCAAAAACATTCTGCAGATCTAATGGCAGCAGGTCTCATGGTGGCAGAAGTAGAGATCCAATCACAGCACCAACATGTGCTGTAGGGGATAATAGAAGCAAACTGTAGATTCTAGGAGTAAAGTGTCTGAAAAGAACCAAGCATGCTTCCATCAACAGCAAACGTTGATTAAATATCATATAAAACCACTCTGATGTGTAAGGTTTTTTAAAGCTTGTCGGTTGTGGATGATGGTCTACAACTGCTATGAAATCAATGTCTGTGTAATTAAATAGAAGTCAGATGTATGGAAAGCAGTTGCCTACATATGACACTTTTCTGCTGTCTGGGTCAAGATTGGGACCATTGGCGAAAGAGGGACCAGAGATTTGGGAGTCAGGATTTCTCTAATACCCACATTGGTTGCTGAGTACTAGATAGTAAAAAAAAAGTAGAGAGTAACAAATTGGGAGGAAGACAATGACTGACACTAATAAATTCTAAGGGACAGTGTGTGGGACAGAGACTATTCAGGAAACACCACTTGGAAACCCTGAAAAAAAAAAGTTGGGCAATTAGACAACTATCTTCCACCTAACAGAGCCACCCCAAGACTGAGTTTTGCTTTGATGAACCAATTCCAAGTAGCCCTGAGATTAAGATAAATATTTCCTTATACAATTGATCAAAAGATTCTCCAGCCTTGATATAGGTAAGATTTAAGGGTAATCATGTTCCCAAATTGTGCAACTTGGAGCTCAGTTCATATCAGGGTTGATCTGTTGAGGGTGAAGGAGTTGACCTCGTGCAGGAGCATCTATTCAGGGTGATATAAGGAGAACAATTGTTCCAGGCGGTCTCTGTTCTGAAGGAAGTCTCCTGTCAATGGTTTGGGATACACATCTCAGGCTGCATACTTCATTAATTTCTCAGGGTATATGTCCTTCCCTGTGAAACGACTTAACGACTCACCAGACCTCATGCCATTTCCTTGGGGCCATCATGGGACATGACCATTCCTACATTACATTTTGTCCTATCCATCCTTCCTCCTCTCTTCAGAGGACAGACTGATCAACAGAGTTATGACAACCTGGGCCATTCAGCACCCACCACCCAGTTCCTGTGGGCCTGAGCTTCAGCTCAGAGTGGTCAAACTCCAATCTAGAAAGTATTTAACTAGTAGTCCCATTTAACTAGTTGAGAAAGCCATGGCCAGCCAGCTACCAGATGACGAAAAACAGAGTGACACAGATGGGGAGAAAAGATTCCTCAGAGGGAACACTGACCCCCTTCCTGCATGGAATGACTTCCTCCTTTCACCTCCCCCAAAGCCAAGTATCTGAAATGATGTGGGAAAAATTATAAACATTATGTGGGGGAAAAAAGAAATTCTTTCCTTCTTTCTTTTTTTTTTTTTTTTGAGTTGGAGTCTCCCCTGTCGCCCAGGCTGGTATGCAGTGGCACTCTCATGGCCTCCTCAGCATCAACCTGCTGGGTTCCGGCAATCCCTCTACCTCAGCCTTCCAAGTAGCTGGAACTACAGGCACTCTACCACACCTGGCTAATTTTTTTGATATATTGTAGAGACGAGGTCTCACCAAGTTGCCCGGGCTGGTCTCGAACTCTGGGCTCAGGCAATCCACTCGCCTCAGCCTCCCAAAGTGCTAAGATTACAGGTTGAGCCACCGAGCCCAGCTAGAAATTATTTCTTAATGATTGAAAACTATAAGCCAATTTCTTTTTCTTATATATTTACATCATCTTGGTAAATCACTCAAACAGTATAAAAAACTATACAGTGAGAAATAAAATCCTCTCTTCTCTGAATTGTCTTCTGAAACAACCACTCCCTGGTCCCTTACTCCTTGCCCCTGTGTCTCCCTAGAGTAGATGTGTGGTTGAGTTCCCAAGTGCTGTGTGGTTGAGTTCCCAAGGCTTCAAGTCAGTTTTCCCTGGGTTCTACTTTGTTGGTTTTTAAAAACAAGCCCTCAGACTTTACCACAACTTGGCGTGGTGGCACATTCTCACAGCATCCCAAAGGCACAGACATGGTGAGCCAGTCTATGTCAGAAGTCTGTTTCCTTGTCCCGTAATCTCATAAGCACAGTTTGATTTCTCTCTTGTAGTAGTCTTTTATCTCTTAATTCTGCCCCATGTAGTTTCCTTTGAGTCATTTACTGGGTAAGATCTCACCCAAACTAGTAGAGGTAATTGTGGCTATGCAAGGGAAAGTGAGCTTCAGGAAACCCTAAATAGCACACAGCAATAGTCAAGTTCTCACTGCTACCAACTGTCACCAGAGAGCCTCACATTCAGACAAAGAAGGGAAGTGAAGGCATCTAACACATTGATGCCTTCCCTTTGAAGCATACCCATTGAAATGGAAGGTGGGGGCTTGGTCCTCCGTTCCAGAAGATACCGGGATGGAGACACTGTACCTCCATTAAATTGGTTCCCCATTGAACACTCCAGCAATTGAGAATTTCTTTTCTTTTTTTTTTTTAGGTTAGAAAACATGGTTTATTTAAAAATAAATTAGAGAGAGAAAGAGAAAGAAGATTCACCTCTCCAAGGTAAGAGAGGGGACCAAAGCCAGGAGGCATGGCAACAGCCATAGCTCAAAGAGCACATGGCCACACCAGAGTCTAGCAAGGCAATGGCCTCTTTTCTTTTGTTAATGGCTATAAATCTGTCCTATTTCAGTTAAATCCTATTTATTGGTGTTTGGATCTTCACACAAATTCAAATCTGGCAGTGGCCCCCACAATGGCCCCTCCTAACTTGAAGTTGGTATCTAATTCTCCCTTTAGACTGCTCTCTAAATTTAAATGTGTAATTGTGTAAAATTAATAAAAGGTCACAAGGTTAGAATTATAAAAGGAGTCCGAATTCTGTTAGGTTATAGACATAGTGAAATCAAAAGGTTATCTTTGAACTTTTCATCCTCTATGCATTCCCTAGCCACTGGGACTGCCTGCAGAATGAACTAACTTGTTTTTCTCTTGAAGAACAACTGGTTGTAGGTCATGCTGACCTCCTTGATGGTATCCAGAAATTTGGTCGGCCAAAGGGCATGGGCAGCTTTCGTTTTTGTTTTTGTTTTTTTCGAGTTGGAGTCTCACTCTGTCACCCAGACTGGAGTGCAGTGGCTGTTCCCGGCCACCGCAGCCTCGACCTGCTGGGCTCCGGCGATCCTTCCACCTCAGCCTTCCTAGTAGCTGGAACTACAGGTGAGTGCTACCACGCCCGACTGATTTTTTGATTTATTGTAGAGATGAGGTCTCGCCAAGTTGCCCAGGCGGGTCTCGAACCCGCGGGCTCAGGCAATCCACTCACTTCAGCCTCCCAAAGGCGCGGGATTACAGGCTGAGCCACCGAGCCCAGCTATGGGCAGCTTTAATCTCTGAGGAGCCTACCTCCAATGTATATTTCTGCTAAACTATATCCTAGTTAAGCTTAAGAGATAACCAGCCATTGTTCCCTAGTTCCTTCTCTATTGTAGCTTACTGCTGATTGCAAGGTTCCCCTATAGATAACATCACTATTGTAAAACCTAAGAATGGTGATAATTATCAGACTTTTGCATTCTGATGGACCAATGGAGCCCACCTGAACTCATGACTCATATCAAGGAACTGACTCAAGTGTCTTGTTACCTCTTCCCCCACCCAGAAGATGACTTTGTGAATGAAGACAGTTTTGACATCCTATGACTTCAGCCTCAACCAATCAGCAGTACCTGATTCCTAGCCCCCTGCCCATCAAATGATTCCTTAAAAAACCTTAGCCCAAAATTCTCAGAGAGGCAGATTTGAGAAATATCTCCTGCCCTCCGTGATCAGCTACTTTGTGATTATTAAATTCCTTCTGCAGTGCAACACACCAGTTTTAGTACATCAGCTGAGGCCAACACAGCTGTTTCAGTACATTGAATTTTCTGTGCACCAGGCATTCAGGCTATAATAATTGCTCCATGAGTTTTTCAGCACAGGGCTGGAGAAAGCGAGGTTAAGACCAAACCAGAGATGGTTTATTTTCACTGAACTGAAAAATTGAGAGAAAGGGATTTGTTTTTATTTTGGTCTTTGATTTTCTTTTTCTGGGCGGGGGAGTAGGGTGTAGTTGTTGCTTTAAAAAAAATTTTTTTTTAAGTTGGAGTCTCGCTCTGTCGCCCAGATTGGAGTGCAGTGGCACGCTCCCAGCCACCGTAGCCTAGACCTGTTGGGCTCTGGCGATCCTTCCATCTCAGCCTTCCAAGTAGCTGGAACTACAGGTGCGCACTACCACACTCAGTTAATTTTTTAAAAAATTTATCGTAGAGATGAGGTCTCGCCAAGTTGCCCAGGTGGGTCTCAGACCCTTGAGCTCAGGCAATCTACTCATCTCGGCCTCCCAAAGTGCTGGGGTTACAGGCTGAGCCATCGAGCCCGGTCTAGTTGTTGGTTTTAAGCAAAGAAACAAATACACACATTTGAAAAAAAACAAGTGTGAACTCAGGGACTTTTAGATGGTCAGGATTACCCGTATCTCATTCTGACATTAGGTCCTTCCATGGTACAGTTATCAGTGCATTCTCCTGGATTCTCTTGTCGCTGCCACAGAGGTCCTGATATAGCCAAAATGGAACCACAAGGAGGAAGCAGAAGTTCCAACAAAGAGTGAGGCTGGTATTATCAGGAGAAGAGGAGGTGAGAGGATGGCAGAAAGAACTACAAAGGTCTACTATCTCCCCAGTTTATAGATAAGGAAATTGGGACTGAATGTGTCCCTTACCCCATAAGCCAAGGTCCTACTATACTGTATTGTCAACAGGAATTACATCCCGGTTTTAGGGATGGGAAAATTAGACCCAGAAGGAGAAGGCAAATTTGTTAAAAATCATGAGCTAGAGCAGGCATGGTGGCTCACACCTATAATCCCAGCACTTTGGGAGCCTGAGGCAAGAGGATTGCTTGAGCCCAGAAGTTCAAGACCAGCCTGGGCAACATAACGAGACCTCATCTATACCAAAAATTAGCTTGGGTATGGTGGTATGTGCCTG